GTTAAGCTGGGCTCGGTGGCTCAGCCTGTAATCCCGCACCCTTGGGAGGCTGAGGTGAGTGGATTGCCTGAGCCCGCGGGTTCGAGACCCACCTGGGCAGCGAGACCTCATCTCTACAATAAATCAAAAAATCAGCCAGGTGTGGTAGCGCACTCCTATAATTCTGGCTACTGGGAAGGCTGAGACAGAAGGATCGCGGGAGCCCAGCAGGCGAGGCTGCGGTGGCCGGGAGCAACCACTGCACTCCAGTCTGGGCAACCGAGTGAGACTCCAACTCAAAAAAAAAAACCAACAACAACAACAAAAAAAAAACATTTGGGTTCATTTGAATGACCATGTTTGATTCCACTTTAAAAGTTTTAAAAAATTAACAGGAGCCAATTATTTAGATGTCTATCTTTTTGGTTCCTCTTCTGTTTCAGTAATAAGCAGTTTCTACATGTGACTCATGTAACTCAAGCTTGTGTAGTAAGGCAGTAGAGACATTTTGATATATCACTGGATAAATGTAAATTGCTTAGACTCAGAATCCCAAATTAAGATAAGCAAGACAGTGCTGGCGCCACGGAGGTGTCCTCTATAAGTAGCCTAGAGGGAAGGTGGATTAGATAGTATTAACCTATTGAAAGTGAAAGTATAAGCAATTTTGTTTCATAGTTTCTAAAGGAATGTACCCATACATCACAGAAAGCTTTCAGAACATTCAGACACAGGAAACTGATTTCATATCTCAGAAACTTAATTTATGGTAATTTTAGTAGCATCAGTCCAAAACTCATAAATCTAGAATGTTAAATGTTTAATAGTATAGAAGTTTTAAAAAAAAGAGCTAAAAATAAGATTGCTTCTTTCTAAAATGTAAGAGTTATGAAACTAAAGAACAATAAAGATGAAATGCCTTCCAAATTATTTACTTCAATTATTTTTTAAGTTAATTTAAGTAGGGGCGGGGCTGACAGCCCCATGTACTAACTTGCTGTCACTCAGGTCCTACTTTTGGATGAAATGAATGTCAACCACAGTGAGTACATTGAGTGTTTAGTATGGAGGTCCGTGGTTAATAAGCAATGTAATGCAACAGTAGTCAATCCAAGTTTGGTGTTTTGTTTGGCTGAAGCTAGAGTTTTAAAGTTTATACAAAGACATTCCTTAACCAAGGATTAGGAGAAAAAGCGAAGAAAAGAAGTGAAATGAATAGCAATGTTCTCAGAGTAAAAAGAATACGAAGGCTACACCAAGAGAAAGCGTCATTGAGAGACACTGGTACAATTTCCATTAACATCATATGTGAAGGCAGACTCAACTTCCAGATGCTCTAATGAGGTGTCAGATGTGATTCCCCAAGACACTAACCACAAAACAGGCTTCTGCACTAAAGTATTTGTGACTTTTTCTTCTTCCTAAGCTTTCTTTATAAACAATTGTGCTTTGCTTTTATATCCTTGAAGGGTGTCCTTTTCTTTACTTTCTCTGGCTCCACCTACAATTCATGATCCCTATGGATCTTTTAAAATATGTTCTTATTACTGGTTTAATAGATATCCATTCTATTCCCCATCCTGCTGTTATAATTATTTGTTGCCACTTCAAATTCCTTCTTTTAAGAGTAAAATTCGAACCATTTTTTTGTCACTTAAGAAATCTTGACAATTTTTTGTTTTATTTTGCCTCTCATTTCCCCAATTACATGCATATTTCCTTTCTTGTAAATATGTTTGTTGCTCCTGGCTCTATATTTTCTTGTGTGCCTTTCCTCACTCTTATAACTTTTATTATGCACCAGGTGTCTTTCATTGTGGTCGTTCTGTCCCTCGAAAACTCATGTTTTCCACAGGGAATAGCTTCTATACATAATTATTGTATCAGCCAGAAAAGTTTGAGTTTGTACAGCAAATATCAGAGTGTTTTATTATTCACAGAGAAAACAGTCATATGATTGACTTTTTCAGTTTTTATCTCAATTGTCTTTTAAGCATGCTACCAACTGCTACCCTCTTTAGTTGCAAATTGTTCTTTTTACATATTAATCTATTTTTTCTAAGTGTCTAACACTTAATATTTTCATGCCTTTATCAGACCTCTTTGTATTTTATGAATAATCTACAGCAGCTCTTTTAAATTTAACATGTGCCTAAGTGAGCCTTGTTTCCTTGAGTGAGGGATTTGCTCAATAGCTCGAGCTCTTTCTGCTACTGCCATCTGGTGGTTCTCCTCATTAGGTGTATTTTTCTTTTTCAGAAGTATTTTCTAGAAATTGCATGTAGTCAGAATCCAAATAACCACAGATGCACAACTGAAAATCATCAAAGCTCAATTTCACATTGTATTGAAATTACCCTGTGTACTATGAGCTAGAATGAGTAGGCCGGGTGTGGTGACTCATGCCTATAATCTCAGCACTTTGGGAGGCCAAGGTGAGAGTATTGCTTGAGCCCATGAGTCTGAGACCAGCCTGGGCAATTGACGAGACCTCATTTCTACAATAAATCAAAAAATTAACCGGGCGTGGTGACGCACACCTGTAGTTCCAGCTACTTGGAAGGCTGAGGCGGAAGGATCGCTTGAACCCAGCGGATCGAGGCTGCAGTAAAAATCAGCACCAGCCTCCCATAGAGCTGCAGTGGCCGTGAGCGTGCCACCTCACTCCAGCCTGGGCGACAGAGTGAGACTCCGATTCAAAAAAAAAATAATAATAGAATGAGTAGAAAAATTAGTTTACCTTTTCCCTGAAAATAAAACTGTCACCACGTCTAGTGGAAGATTGTTTCAAATGTGCCTAGCGTTGATTCCTAAGGACTGCGGTGTCGGAAGTGCCAGGTTGCCCTGAACCGCATGCCCTCAGCACCAGCTACTTTGTTAGAGTGCACATTCACCACATTTTCAACCACTGCACACCAGGGGCTCAGAGCTGGCGGGTGCCTGGCCAGAGGTAGGCAAGATGCAGAATCCTCATCTGCTCAGCTCCGCCCCAGTGAGATCTGAAGCTACTACTGGCATTAACATATTCTGCACGATGAGCCGTGTGAAGTCGAGGAAGGAAATTCTATTAGATCAGGGTACTGCGTCTCTGTCTGTTTCCACACAGGCACCCTTGTGGCCTTTGAGACTGAAAGAAGAATACCAAGTGATGCTTCAGTAAAAATCAGCACCAGCCTCCCATAGAGCTGATATTCCAGTTCTCCCTTTACTAGTTTATGTATAGACATGCTAAAAATATTCCTCATTGGTGGCAGATTTGGGTCAATGATACGACCCCAACACCCAGGACAGTACCTAGAAGGCATGGAGTAAACATTGAATGAATGAATTTAACAGACAGGAAAATTCAAGTGCTGCCCTGAATAAGTAAAAGTTTGATGAGTCCATTGGATTGATTTGAAGCAGAGCTTACATGCTCTTAGGCTTTATAAAATCCTGCAATTTCCCATGTCTTATCAAGGGATAAACTAATTTTGAAATCTGACATCTTTTGTTGGGTTCTTCCTTTGCAGGTCTGTACCAAAACCCTTTGTGCCAATATAACCTGTACCGTTTATATGTCATCTACCACCTTCCAGGAGTGGAGCTACTTGACCGAAATCGTAAGGACACCCCTTTCATGCAGAGAAATATTTGAGAAACTGTCTTATAGCTCAGTGGCTTAAAAATGAAGATTACCAGCCGGGCTCGGTGGCTCAGCCTGTAATCCCTCGCCTTTGGGAGGCTGAGGTGAGTGGATTGCCTGAGCCCACGGGTTCGAGACCTGCCTGGACAGTAAGACCTCATCTCTACAATAAATCAAAAAATCAGCCAGGCGTGGTAGCGCATGCCTGTAATTCCAGCTACTTGGA